TTCACTAACAATCATCTGGAAAAGAGCGCTTTAAGAGGAGAAGTGTTTATGTTTAGTTTTGGTTTGCGATATATCGCTTTATATTAGAATCTCTATACTCTTCAACGTTCACGAAGCCAATGATGGACTGTGTTTGACATCTTTGTGTTGACCCATTTACTACCTCTGTTATACACAATGCCCTTCTATCATCCAGTGTATTCACTATAATAGCTTTACCAATACGTATCCTATAATATCGATCATACTCTAAGAGTCCTCTCATACTTGTTGCAGGCAACCAGTTCATCCAACGAGCGTTTGGTCCTGTATATCGGTGAAGCATCGTCCACAGCATAACGCCAAGGTCGGACGCTGAGAGCTTATTGGCTGCGCTAAACTGTAGGTTATAAAACTATGTCCCCAAGTCATAGCAAGTCAAGAAGTAGCATAATGAGCTGCTTACTTCCAAAACATCTCCTTCATACGCCCTCCTATCTTTTTCCACCATGATTTTTTTTGTTTCCCATTAACAGAAATGCAATAGCTTAGGCTGTTTGCTTTGGGTTACATATCGTTGCTGCTGTCCTTGGTTCTCCTTGGTACTGCAGACGTACCCTGTTAACAGATTCGTGTTCGTTCGCTTAGTGTTCGTGTTAAATGCATACAGCTGTAGAAAAAACAAATGTAGACTTAAAACATTGCCCTTATGTGCTAGTTAGCCCTTTATCGCTCATTAATCCTACGGGAGCTGATGTATAAATCGTTTTGTTGCTGTCGTAAGCGAAGCAACATCTGAGGCGAGATGTTAATAAATGATCGGCGAGTTCACAGGTTGAACTGTATACGTCCGGCGTCTAAAGTAGACAGCTATCTAGCTTGGGCGAACCGCTCGAATCGAGTACTTCCAGCAGTTACTTCTGATCGAAAAATGAAACCTGATCAACTGATGGTTCCTGGAAATGCCATTTTGAGGGTACCAATCGTTGGCCTCTATCAATATTTTGCAACTCCCTTTTGGCAAAGTCGACATCACCAGCTAGGTTCGAAATTAGATCAGAAGTTCGTCTTCATTTAATATACGGATAAACTTACGTGTCGTTTGCCGCGCAGCCAACCCCAGTTCGATCCCTAATAACTATTCTCTAAGAGCTAAGCTCCGTCGCCCTAATGGAAAGGCGCGAGCTATATTCCTCGGACCGCCCGTCAAAATCTTTCCTTTTTGGCGAGATGCCAAACAAATATTGCAAAAAAAAACACTCGCAACGGACTCGCAGCCATGCTAAACTCGCTCAGCGTCAAATGTTTGAATAACGCCCCAGTATCATATAATTTCTATTTAGTTGTTCGGCAAGAGAACGCTAAGGCTTCAGCGTCATTCTTCCAAACTGCTCGACTAGGATGTCTGAATGGATCTGATAATATCATTCATAGGCTCGTTCAAGTCACTCTAGATTCAGTAATAAAGCATCTGAAAAACACTGATCAATGTCCTCTGATCGATATTGCACCGCCCTTACACACCAATATATACGATAGCCCCTTGGTTCACTCATCAGTGAACGACTGCTCTGTGATCTCGATGTTGACCCTGCTTAACATTGCGCTGAGGCAGGGTGACAGCGACCTAATTGTGACTGAACTTTTTGTTAAGTTAAGCGTCAACGATTTTGCGAGTAGAGTCAAGTACCCGTATGCGGGCAACAACGTGATGGGGTCGTCATGGAAGAATACAACAAGATAACTGTATAGATTAGATAAGATGGCACCAAGTATTGGGACAGAATAGTAGTCAATTTAGTACAACCTGAGTACCAGGAGAACGCAACCGGATAAACAGCTATAAATTTGCGATCGAATTATGACTAGATAGATGAAATGCCGACTCGTCCACACTGACACTGAACATAGACAAGCGGTTTGATAAGTCGTATATGACGAGCTTTCATCTGGACTATCGTAAGTACTTGCTGGCCATGGGAAAAGACCTACCGCAACATCTGCCTACTGCGGGACTCGCGTCTGCCTGACGACCCAGAGCACACAATACTCAAAAGCAAAGCTTTCGAAGACACGAGGCGCGAAATGACACGCGGTCGTACATAGAGGACAATTAAAAAAATTATTGACGGCATGACATGATACATTGCAGAATTAATGGGTCTCGTTGGTGACTTTCCTTGAGAGCGTAATAGCAAAGAAATCTCACCAATAAGGAGCATGAAGATTCTACAATACAAAGTGCCAAAGGGCGTAACGGCGACTTCCTCCTTACAAACCTGAAGCAATACTAAACATCTACTGGTCCATGTTAGTATACACAGTGAGGGCATAATGTTGTTTTTAGGAAATTCTGGGTTTTATCATGATGATTACCATCATAGGTGCATTAAACCGCCCAGTGTGGGATAGATTACACTTGCCTTGAGTGTTTGCCTGCACGGCGAGCGGAAGCTTTGCAGTCTCCCATCCGTCCATGCGCGCGTGACAAGCATTTTTCCCCACCTAAAAAAACGATATTCCTCCATATTAAGACAGGCTGGTGAAATGAAAGTTGTAGAACTGTCGGAGAGTTTTAACGCACTAACTGCAACGGAGTAACTTTTCACGTACGCTTAAGCTATACCAAAGACGAATAGTATATTCGTCTTTGGTACATATATATGCTCATATGTATATATATATATATATATCTCATATTCAAGGACGTGACCTATTGTGTGATCATTCCGGCACTTCATTCGATGATGGACGCTATGTTCGATTAGCGGCCTTCGTTCACTTGTTTCAAAGTGACTTAGGATGCGCCTAGATTGTTTTTCATTATTTCAACACGTATCTCTATTCTAGTTAGAGTTCAATATGCATGAAACTAAAAATCGTATTAGATACAGGTTTTCTTATGTACATGTGTATTATTGGGGTTGTTCATGCTAGATAAATCCCCGTTCGTCTTTTCGCTAGAGCGCGGTAAAAAAAAAAAATAGGAACTTTTCCGCATAGCCAATATCGTGGAATATTATTTTTCCTAAGCCTAATTATTGGATACCTTTACACTTGTCAGTAACTTGAATCGTTCGCTTTCAAAAGTTCGTCGACCCAGGTAACTTGCTAATCACGTATATCTGCATTATTGCGTTGCTTTCCTTGTTCAACCTATAGCACCCCCCTATTTTAAAGTTTTCTCACTCACTCACTCACTCACTTACTTAGGATAATATCACGTCGCGTTATGATCATCTCATCGCATATGCGATTGTTATCCAATAGCCAAATTAAGTTCAACCTCTTGACCTCAACTTCTTGTCACGAATATGGCATATTTTTATTTCGTGAACATCAAATAGCTTGAGAAATTGGAGAAAATTGAAATACGAAGCTTAAACGCGAAGCTAAATTGTTGTGGGAATCGCTAGAAACTTTGACTATATTTACATCACAGTCAGTATGAAATGCTCTTTGATTTTTGGGTTATTTAGGCGGGGTAAGTCTTATCGAATAATCTCACCGCAATCGGAAGCCGACTGAGAATTTTCGTAAAAGAAAAAAAAAAAAAAAAAAAATCATATCCATAGAAATAAGCTTATTCATCGAAACCCGCGATCGACTTTTTATTGTGATGAGATTGTCCTTTAGAATGTCTGCCTCTTGTAATTCAGATAAGCTAAAAATCCATCTAAACATTTTTGCCCTGGCCCTGATCCAATGCTTTCTAGCAAAATTTATCTTTCGACATTAAGAGGGCAACTTGGGTAGACGAGTTGCATAAGATGACTCTACGCTTAAGTACATTGCGATACGTGCCAAACTCGACATATTTCTGTTTGTAAATGTTATGTTTTATCGGTCCTCTCGGTCAAAATCGCGTAACTACTAGCAGATGGTGAGACTGCACTCATGGAAGATGTTCTTCTCTTGTAATAAAAAGACACAACTGTAATAACCGTTATTATATTTGGCTTATCGGAGCACAGGGTGAGCAATGATACATTAATAATGAGAGTATGACTATCAACCACGGGCTATCTAAGCGAGCGTTCTTGAGCTGCTGGTTCACCACCCAGTGTCGTAGTCAGGGGGCATCGCTGCAGAAACAGGCGAAAACTAGATGATTTGTTCGATGGAACTTTGTCGATAAAAGACGCATTACCAGTTTATGAGCATTTTTCGTCTTGCCCTTTTTATTTTTGAGATTCAATCTAATTTTACAGAAAATGTACATAAGCAGCATAAACAGTACAAAATATCTGAATGCCTTTAGTTGATCTCTTTGCCATAGTATTACAATGCTAGTCATCGCTGTCATTGCCTTGTCTCTGTAATCACAACATTTTCTGATGGCGTCTTTTTCAGTTGAACTTGATTTGGTTTTGTGGATTTTTCGCTATTAGTAATGCACATGATGAGCGAAGCCTGTAAAATTGACCCAAACCGCCGCAGTGGGCAGGACCAAAAACGAAATCGAATCCCTATTTGCAATACAATTATTTGCCGCGACTGTCCTATCTATTGTCAACTCGTACTCATAAAACATGAGTAGACACCACACGAGTCAATACCATATGAACCAAACAGTGACCACGACTATTTGCGTATCAACTCCCGTCGAGCCACGGACTTGTCCTCCTTACATGCGGCTCCATGCTCCTCTTGCATCACGGATACTGAAGAGACGCGCTCGGAGCCTGGCCTCATTGCATCCTTTCTATATTGCTCTTAGCGTAGCGTAATTATCATATAATTAGCGTGTCCCATTGGAGATCAAGCGATTCCCGCTAAACATCTCTCTTTTTTATTCGTTTCATTTACGCCCCATGATATAATCACTATCAAATATGTAACCTAATTTATGTCTGTGTATCCACAAGATAATACTTATCTGCAGAGACGATAATAATAGCGACCTATGAAATACTACAGTGATTCTCGAGTATTTTGGTACAGTATACCTTTGCGAGTGCGGAATGATTTCCCCACTTCTGGGAGGCGGCCCCATCTATATATATATATATATATATATATATATATATATATTGTATCTTATCTGCAGCCTTCTACCTAGTTAGATAAGTTACACCTTGATGCCCATCGATTTTACCCTGAAGATTTATTTAGTAAGTTAACTAGAGCTAGGTTGCCATCAAGCGTCAGTCTTTGTGTAGCTTAATCCCAGCTGATGAACAACATCCTAAAAGGCGTCTGCTTATTATAGTCGCAGTCGACCCTTACTGCAATCTCTCTCTACTCGGAACTCTAACACGTTCATCGTTACTGCTACAAGTCTCCCGTCTCAATGCTAATTTCAACTCAGAACAATCTGTATTTGACTCGTGAACGTATACTATAATAGTCCATCCCTGGAGCATTCATTTGCAACTTCAATAAAGCGTTAACAGATATTCACATATAGTAACTATTGTTTGCAAGTCATTTCGCTCCGTATTTACTTCTTTTGCTACCAGTTACGCGAGAACACGTTTAAGCTTACCTACATTTTTTGACGTCATACGTATCGAGTCTTGCTGTTTTGATAGATTAAGAATTGCGCATTCGTACATATATATATATATATGTATATATATATATATATATATACGTATTACTAGGCCAAAGCCGGTCGGTCACTCGCCCTAGCTCGCTGGGCCGTATATGTTATCGTAGAGCGAGGGCGCTTTGCTCGCTGTCGTCCCGTTCGTAGCGCCGAGATTCAAATGACAGTTGATGGGATTAAAGGTGGAACTGATGGATGAGGTCATTGAGTTGATCGACGACAACGGCGATACAGATGAATGATGGTGATGGTGATATTGCTGTAATGAGTGATGATTGATCGATCCAAGCGAATGATTGATTGAATTCAATGGACTACTAAAGGAGTGACCAAGCGCCCCGGGGAATGTAATGGTTGGTGAAGGCGGCGGCGGTGGAACCGAATGTGGCGATTGACTCAGGCTTGAATCCCTGAAATAAAAAGAGCAACAATAAACAATTGCTTATATAACAAAAGCAGACTGAATACGTCACACATTTAAGAGACATCCAACAGATGTGTCCACGGTTGTAGTTCAGCGATTACGCTTTGCAAAAATATGAAACCGTCTAGCATCACATGAAGTCTAAACAAGAGAATCTTTGATTGCAAGAGAGCAGAACCCTGCTGATGACACATACATACTACAGAATTAGTGATGCACCGGACCACCAGACCGGATAAACGGAACCCTTAAATATTCTACCATTAATACGATAATCATCATGAAACCGAACATCAATAGTACTTAAAACTAACAAACTTATATGACATTCTAATGCTGCTTTTTCTTAATTGTAAAGCAGCAAGGCTTAAGCGAACTAGAACTTGATCATACATAATGATACGTGCTTTTCTTACCAACTCCTTCGAGAGCCAGAAGATGGCTTCAAAACTAGTGTTGGTTGACCTCTAATATAAAGTATCATATGCTGTTGTATGTACCTCCATAGCGAACAATGATTAGCTATTTGAAGGAATGAAAGAAAAGAAAAACAGGACGACAAAAAGAACGGAACCGAATTCATCAGGAAAATCACAATGCCACCACAATATTACCGCCGCCATCATCTGCGTTATCTTCCTTTGTATTTCTGGGTACTCGACTAGGCTCAAACGCCAGTTGGGACCGTTCTCGAGGAAACCTGACTCTGCTTCTTTGCCCGCTGGGGCCGCCCAGCCCCAGCTGATTGGCTTCTTCAAATGGATTACGCGACCAGCAACAAGAGCGTGACAGTATTGGTAGTAACAGTCGTTGAACGGATAGGGAAGCTTTCGCTTTTTCTATTTTCCTTACTGACACCGCGGAGTTTGACAACATCGCCTGACTTCTTGTCGTGCGTCCCTCGGGAAAAAGGGCACTTCATTAACTCGATCGTCGACAGAGAACTTCGCCGAGGTCCGTGACGGTATAGGGCTCATAGTAGACACCGAAATGTGCGAAGTAACAAACAGCTTCTCGAAGCTTGAACCAATCTGGAGTCCCGCATAACTGTACACAAACCTTGAGCCGAATTTAAATAAATCAATTATTCTAAGAGGAAAAAATGCTGACCGTAGCTGTTACGTATCCCATATGTTCCGTCAGTCTATTACGTACTACCTTTATAGTTATAGAACTTGTGTAGAAGCTTTCATGAAAAGGGTTACTTCTTTCGAAAACACTGCAAAAGTTACAGCAGGTGGCCATGTCAAGACTTAAGGTTGAGAAGTAGCCTCTACCGAAACCTAGGCGATTCTTAGCCTCCTTTAGCCCCTTCATACAGGTTATATTTGTCGTTGTCTCTTGGCACAGCCTGTTCCTGCCCGTATTAGTAATACTAGCACCCTTATAAGAAGTTCGCGTCGACATGAATGCAATCTGTCAGCCCTCACAAGTCTTCAAGTGCAGAGCTAGAAAAGCAATGGTCCTTGTGGGCCCCTTTATATAGGATCCTTAACGGTAGCCTTTTCATGAGACGAAATGATGGCCTTTCGCTATCTTGCCGACTGGATGTGCATTCTCCTTACCGAGCTGTTTCTTGTCGAGGGATCCTGCTCCTGAAGAGCTGGCTCCTCACGTGTAATGGTGGAACTGGCGGACTCCCAGAAATACGACACCACTGCCTCACAAATGAGAGAAAACGGAGGGAAGGATAGAGCCGAAGACGGCGACCATGGTGATGCTGATGGCGATGATGATTATGGTGATGACCATAGAGGCAAACCGGGAAGAGAGGCAATAGATGGTCTCGGGTTTCCCGCGGAGGCAGAAGCTGCAGCTCCCAGCGGCGGCGATGACGGCAGCAAGAGCAGAGATTATGGCCTGCCGGGCCCCCATATGCGCCTCCCACATCAATGTTCACCCAGCCCCCTCGAAGTCGACAGGGACACGCGACGCAAACACACACGCACATACATACACATCCACAAATGTAGCCCCTTATATATGTCTTGAGAAGGAAGTAAGTTGCCATCTCAGTTGGTCCGATGGTTCGCCCGACCATCGAAAAGGCATAACTACTACTTACTCTCCTTGTTTTCGAGTTAGAGCCAATTCTTTCGTGAACTGGAATAAGTCTGTCTATGCCAGGTATAGCATCTATGTAAACAATAGTACGAGTCAACAAATAAAAACATCAGTGATAGTTTCCCTTATCGTCTGTGCGCGATTATCGACTGGAGTTAACTTTTTTGGATTAAAATTAGCCAAACGAGGAAACACACGCTACACTATGTTGCCACGTTTTATTTGAACGTGTCATGGTGTTTCGCGTTCGTAATTTATGTATCTATAGCCCTTATGACTTAATATGAATAACTTTAATGCCCTTTTGGAATGACTCTTTGGAAACTAACTTTCTAAGAGTTTCCCTTTCCGTGCTATAGCATCTAACTGTTATGACAATGCTGGAACCAGCCAAACCACTGTCTAGAACGAATGCAAATTTTTACCGATTTGAAAACGAAATAAGTGTCTTAAACTCTCACACCAACGCAGCAGGTGGCATCTGCTGCTATCTGTTCTTACTCGGTACCCCCATCTTGTTGCTCGTTGATTCAACCGGGGTTATAGAATGCCTGGCAAGTGTAGCTAAGTACACTGTATCCCCCAGCATGTAATGAATTTAACTTTGAGCTTTTCATTTTATCGCTCTCCGCTTCATGCTGATCAACACAACCGCACGATCTGATGAGATAGCGTGCTTTTTATAGCGGTAAATCAGATAAGCTTAAACCTCAAACACGCTTCCATTCCCGGGCTCGGAGCGACGAAGTCCTGTCGAGTCTCACTAGCTGCGGCGGTCGTACAAGCATTTAGTTGAAACGAGAGTTACGAAACGGTTCATACCCCCCCCCCCTTCCCCCCCGCCCATGGCATGACACTATCAGCTGATGCTGAAAACAACAACCTAAAGGTCGTGTAAGGGGCCTTATCGTTGCCACAAGCAAGACACACCCCATAAACGACACACTAACAGAGTTGGCCACTTAGCACAAACATCTACGCCGTATCACTATTTTTAATAGTTATAGACCAGAAGGGAAAAAGCTAACAATGTATCATTACGATACGCGGGAAAGTATTATGAAAAAAAAAATATTTTTTTTAACCTATATAAACTTCACGTGGAGAGAAGGATTTTAACACGAGCTGCTTTCAAGTTAGAAAAAAACGCACGTCTATTTTTGTATTTCAAGTTGACCGTTACGAAGCGTATTTTTTTTCGAGGAAAACTGCAGAGAACTTGAGAATGGGCGTTATTTCACGTCAGAGGATATAGGGATTTTTTAATACTGGACTCGATTTTTGTTATGTTTGGTTTCTTATTGTTTTGATTTTCTATTTAACCTGTATGCTTACCCTGTCGCTCCCCTAACTGTTATTTGATTCACCACTCCGGTCCTTCAAGTGATACCTAACGTTCTAAGAGAGAGCAAAACGCGAGTTCGCGTCTGTGTGTCACACCTCCCTTCAAATGAAGGCAAGCAACTGCCATCATTGTTCACGCCACCTATTTGACAAATTGACTTGGCAGGGGACGGTCGCCAAACCACATCAAGCAGACGCCGCGGGAGTTGCCGATCTTCTGTCCCAACGGTATTTGTTGTTTTAACGGCGCGAGGTTGTCACGTGAGCGGTTTCGGAGATAGAAAGACCTGTGCCTGATCGAAAGTAGGGAATCAGTTTCAAAATGATCGATGTGCACTTCTTCGCTCAGTTGGGAGGTTGAAATCTCACCCCCCATCTTTACTCGTATCCCGAATTTATGATATTTGCTGCCGGTCAGTAAGATTCAGTGCGCAAGCTAAGACTTGCACAAGCCAAGGGCTAGAAACAAGATTTCAATTCATGGGAATGGATTGTATCCCTGACAGATGGCCGCACGGTCTATGGTCTGCGGTTTGCTGATTCCTCGTAGAAGGCACGTTGCTTCCTAGCCGCCTAAATGATTATGACGCTTGCTCAGGCAATATATCTAGTACGTCAGGATAGGTTGTTTAGCAAAAATGGCCTCCAAAAACTATCCGTTTCATGTGTATTTGTGAAATGTCTGCATCTCATCTATCCGAGACGGAAGACGAAATGGGGATAACGGACTCACTTTCATATAGGGACCGATCTCTCTAAGTGATTGGAAAACCCAACCTTTTCCAAGTCAAATCACTACATTCAGCCTATTTTAGACAAAAACGAATATTTATCATTAAATAATAAAGCGTATAATAGTAAAGTATTGGTGGAACGCAGGTCAAGAGAAGTAACAAATCATAATTATTCTCTAAGGATTTTACGACTTTTTGAGAATGATCAGAAATTTAACTATTAAGTGGTGAAGCCGCATTCACTACTGTGCTCAGTAGCTGAATAGCTTCATTAACAACTAGATCTCTAGATAAAGCTACCTTACATGAATAAATTGTTTATTAAAAAGTATTTTTGTGACTGGTTGAGCCTGGTCACTATTTACACTAAAACCTAGAACGAAACAGTAACCCTTAACTACCGCTAAACGACTGCAGTGTATCGCTATTTCGACCGGTATGATTTGATCTATATATTGTTATGTAAGTGACGGATTGTGGGAACCTGCTTACCGAACAGCATGAGGCTCGCTTCGTTTACCTAAATGATCTATTCAGCTGATTGCTTTCACACGTCGAGCGTCTAAATCCAAAAGACGTTCCATTCGACATTTTGATAGAAATTGTACCAGTCAGATCAGGTCAGTCTGGCACACCGGACAAGCTACAACAGTCAGCTACAACAGCGGAGAGCAAGAATCTCGGACAAAGGATCAGCCATAACAACAACACAACAATAAACTTAAACTAGGAGAGGGCGGGAATCTAACCAGGGACATCGTCAACATATATACATTTTCTCTCCCTACCTAGATAGACAATTGCTTCAGTAAGAAGACGTCTTGTGCTCAGCCTTCGTACAACA